TCAGTCTCCTACGTTTAATCATCTTCTGCACAATTTTCCGCGTTATATAACTGGTCATGGAGTATCAGCTGAATAGAAGAATAAGTTAGACATTGTGTTTGCATTGACGGATCATTCTCAACTTCTCTTGACTAAATCTTGATCAGGCAAAATAATTTAGACGAAATTGAATTCCACCACTTAAATTAAACCAACTTCCATCAAAATGCCCAAACTTCACTCAAGCAGTACCATAGAAACAGATAATGGCGTTTGAAGACAAAGTTAATAGAAAAAAATAATTCCACCTATTCCTACCACAGTTTTAAACAAACGTTAAGAACCACGTGATTTGCTATCAATCTTGTTGCTGTAATTGCACGCGTGTACTTGGACACTTCGATCTCATTTCACTGAATGAAGTTTTTCGGTGTTGGAAGTTGCAATCCTCTGAGCGTTATCCATTTTCGCGCGATTTTGCAATAGTAGTAAATAAGATTAATTTTAGCAAGTATTTATTTACTATCTGTGTATTATTATGAAATGATCCGTTAATATTCACATTGCGGGTATGCTTTAGACGCATAGCAATAGGCAGCGCAGTTTCTAAATAGGGAGGTGGAAGAGCCCTTGCATGGCGGGTAGAAGACCTCTGGAGGTAGAGCCTCAACCCGTATTCTCTGTCCTTAATATCTTCAGGATAAGTGGGGAGCTCATTTCTACTGAATATAAATTTTCAATAGATGAGGGGAGGGGGAGGGAATTGGTCTAATTTTCGTTAACAGAGATGTGCTTGTCCCTGTAGCTTAGTTCACCAACCCCTACCCCTCCCCCCCCCCCCCCCCCGATCACACTTTTCTGTTGACTTAAAAAACCAGCTGTCTAAAATTGAGTGACTTTAAAAAATTGACGGTTCTACCACCCTCGTCATCATCATCTTATTAATGGTCTTACCCGATTTAAGCTGGTATTTGCAGTTTTGAGAGAAACTAATACTTCTTGACGTATAATTTTAAAAATTGTAAAAAGGATCATCTTCACTAAAAATGCTAATTTTGGTCAGTTGACTTTAGAAATACTTTAAAATAAACTCGATTTGTAGCATCAACAGGGCTGTGTTAGTCAAAAAGGACACTAAACGGCCGACCCAGCAGAAATGCAGTCTTCATTAACATTTAAGCATTTTTGTCTAACTTGTGCATAAATAGCCTTCGTCTGAGGTCAATACCCATCAGCGCACACCGATAAAGCTTGGCTTACGAGTGAAAGGCGGAACATCCATTTCGTTCTGCGGAAGTCCACCGCAGGCACAACTCATGCCAAGATGAACATTGGGAAAAACTTTGGTTAATAAACTTGTGAATTATTACCTTGGCATCTTACTTAGAAGCGTTGAAAAATACGTCTATAGTATTGGGTGGGCAACTAAGTCATTGCCGTTTTTGTTGACGGATTCACTCTATACTTTCTTTTGTTTTGTTAACGTGGCCAGAGCATCTAACCTATATTTTTTTCTTACTCTATGGGCTTCTAGGTTAATTAGTAAAAAAATTTTTTTGTTTAGTTCTTTAGTTTTGTTTGTATCCCAATTTAAAAATGAAAGAACAGGACGTGCACTTCCGACACATTTTATTGTATTACTTCCGAAAAGGCAAGAACGCATCGCAAGCACAAAAGAAGTTATGTGCCGTATGTGGAGATGAAGCCGTGAGGAAGAAAGGCAGTGTCGAAATTGGTTTGAAAGATTTCGTTCCGGTGATTTTTCAGTGAAAAATTCACAACGATCTGGCCGCCCAGTCGAAGTGGATGAAACTCATATCAAGGCCATTATCGATTCAAATCGTCACAGCACAACACGAGATATTGCAGAGAAGCTCAATGTGTCGCATACATGCATTGAAAAAAAAAATGAAAAACCCTTGGTTATGTCAAGAAACTTGATTTATGGATCCCTCACCAGTTAAAGGAAATTCATTTGACGCAACGGATTAGCATCTGTGATTCGCCGCTACTGAAACGCAATGAGAATGATCCATTTCTGAAGAGCCTATTGTTACTGGCGACGAAAAGTGGATAGTTTATAACAATGTCGTTACTCGCAAGAGATCATGGGTGAAGCAAGATCAACCAGCCCAAACAGTATCAAAAGCAGCAGAGATTCACCAAAATTAAAGATTATGCTGTCAGTGTGGTGGGATCACAAAGGAATTTTGTATTTTGAACTCATGCCGCAGAACCGAACGATAAATTCAAATGTGTATGTTGAACAACTCGAAAAACTGAAGGATGCAATTGAAGATAAGCGGCCGGCATTATCAAATCGGAAGGGTGTTGTTTTCCATCATGATAACGCAAGGCCCCCCCCCTCACATCTTTGGTTACTCGGCAAAACTTATTGCAACTGGGTTGGGATGTTTCGTCACACTCACCATATAGCCCTGACCTTGCGCCTTCGGATTACCATTTGTTTCGTTCCATGCAAAACTCTTTAAATGGTAAATTTTTTAACAACGCGGATGATGTCGGATCACACCTAATTCAATTTTTTAATAGGAAGGACCAGACATTTTACGAACGGGGAATTTTACTCTGCCAGAACGATGGAAAAAGGTCACCGACAAGAACGGCCAATATCTAATTGAATAAAGTGATATTTTTAAACAAAAATTCCGAATTTGCCTTCTTATTTGAAATCGGCAATGACTTAGTAATTATTACTATTACCAAAGAGATTGTGGATATCCAAGACAGGTCTCGAATTAGATTGCTCGCATGGATTTTGCCATAGGCGTTTCGCTGTATTTTCGTATCAGTCAGATAGGAATCGCAGCTTCATCTATCAATTGTCTTTGCGCATTGGTTTGAAGAGACCTTTACTCTAATTATGACAGCTAAAAGCTACTTATTAATTAAAGCGGATTATTTTTTGCTGGACATAAGTAAAACACAATAACCTTTTCGCGTAAACAATTTATAACAGCACTTTAAAAAGTAACACAAACTCATGAAATAGGATATTAATAAAAATTAAGATGGGGAACGGTGAGTAAATGGAGGGGGACATGTGAACGGCATCGAACATGTTCCACTTATGGAAGCATGTGATATAGTTCTCTTCATCTTACTATTAAAATGAGAATTATAGAAGTAAAAGGGAGAACAGCCCGAAAGGGGGGGAGGGAAATATAAAAGAAAGTTAAAATATAATAACCTCCTCACCACTTCTTCCGATGGATTCTTGGTTATCGTTAAAGGTATAGGAGGAAGTATTGTTTGGCAAAATAGAAAATGGAAGGGAATAGCACAAAATGTGCAGGAAGATGATATGAAGATGTTAAGAGGGGAGGGGGGGGGGAGGCAGAAGTACACAGCCAGAAGAGGAGAGACAAGAATTCTCTCATTCACTAGTTAGTCTTGAGCTTTCCTGAACTACCCTTCTTGCCACCAATCCTATTCCTCTCCTCCTTCTCATCTTCTCCCTCGTCTGCGGTGCCACGTTGGCCAAATTCATTCACTCTTGAGTGGTCAACTGGGTAGAGCCTGGGAGGAATTAGCGCTTCAATTAATAAATGGCTAAAAACACTGAGTATTAAAATTTCTAGAAATTAGATAGTAAGTAGCAAGTTTATGGTATCTTAGAGCCAGATCTCTTGATTTCAATATTGTTATTTTTCCAATAAACTTAAAGCCATGGTTTACCAGACTAAAATTATAACTTATTATTCACCAAGCCTAATTTTCTATGAGACCCCTTATAGTAACTTGACAGATAATTTAATACAAAAAAGGCCAGGTTATTGCAACACCCGTCAATTTAAATAGCTTCCATTATTGGCAAAACAGTAATACAGTTGAAATACACTGGAATAGACAAACGCCTTGCCAAAAACCTGCCATTCACCGGTTTCAATGCATATAGAGCGGAAAATGGATAATAATTGGCTTTTTAAACTCACTTTCATAAATGAATGAAATTAATAAGTCTGAAGTGGCGGTAGAAAAAATAAGTTTAGGCGCTAAAATTTACTTCCCAAGAGAAATTTATTGAAGAGGTTTTGTGATTGTTCCTTTCAAGAGATTATAGGACTTTTCCCTTCTCACTCTGCAAAGTTCATTTGTAAATCCCCCCCCCCCCCCAACACACACATCCCCCACTTCCTCTTACTGTAGTTCAAAAAGAAGTCATTTTATGGGATTATTTGGCAACCAACCACTATAACATTATGTCGGCATTTAAACCTATCCTGATTTTAGACTCAGAAAACTCCAATAATAACTCCGCTAAAAGCTCATTCCTTCCACCTTTTTGCTACCAAAATCAGTGGGAGGAAAAGGTAAGGCGAAAGTAAATCAATGAAATGGCAAGTTATGAAACATTTTCGAAATATTGGAGTCTGCTAAAGGAAATAATTCTCACCTTCTCCGATTTCCGTTAGCAAAGTTTGCATTTCCTTGCACAGAAAAATTTGAATTTACTTTCGAATTAAGCAAATTATAAGTGAATAAATACATAAGAGCCACACCCAACATCACTATGAGGAGTGATTAATGCATAAATAAATTGGGGGGGGGGGAAATGATCTTAATTTAATCAAAGATCAGATGCATTTGAGCATATACTTATCTTGAGAAAAACCAAATATATATATATATATATATTGATTTTCCAATCAATAATTTCCTTTACTAACTCAAAGAGCCAATTTCAACAAAATCCAAATGTGAGATGCTCGACGTTAAATTGAACAAAAGTAATCATTGAAAATGGTCTGAATTTAGAATCTTTTCAAGCACAAAGTCAGTTTTTAATTGAAAAATGACCTAAATACGGTTTTCAATACGAGAGCATTCAAAGATAATTCAAGATTGAATCCCACTGACACTATTCAAAGGAACATCACCATAACAAGCAGGCATAATTTAAAATCCAAAGAAGCCATTATTGACTAGATGTCATGGGGCGAATTGAGTTGAAAGGTACGCCATTTAACGGAAGTGGGGTTTCAGCAAAATGCTTGTCATTAGTATCCCTGGGCACATTGAGAAGGGAAGAGATGAAGTGGCAGGCCACCCAGAACCAAGTAAGGGAGTTTATTAGTCGTTCCAAGAATAAGTTTTGGCGTGCCTTTCCAAACTCTATTTGAGACATGCAGTTTGGTAATCAAAGTCTCACCTCACAAAAAATAAAAAAGAGCATAAAATAGCTCTACTCCAGAGCCTTTCCTATGTGAATGCCTTCTTCTACTAACGGGGCAAATACAAAGACCCAAAAACGCTATCTTTCCTAAATTGCAATATCGGATTCAATTATTACGTGGTCTTCGTTAAATGATATTCCCAGCACAAGATTATAACTTTCTATTGCTTCCAACATGCCCCCACCATCTCACCAACCAGCATTTAGCCGCAAACGGCAACACCAAGGCCTGTTACACATTCCACCATCATTTGGCACCCCCCCCNCATTCCCCCATCATTTGGCCCCCCCCCCCCCCCTCAATAAACTGAGAAAATGCGGGATACGTCCATTCGATTAGGTAACAAAATTGAGCACTAACGTAAGATAAATCTTGCATATTTCTAGCTCAAAAACAAAGGAGGTTTCATAAAACATTATTTGTGACCAAGATTTAAGACAGAATATGAGTAATTGTCAAATCGGCAGGCGAAAGCATACATCGCAAAACGAGGATCAACTTCAAAACAAAAGAGTACTAATTGCAACTTAGGGAACAGAGGAAACTATGGCTATGAAACAAAAGCTTCCAATGTCCACCCCCCCCCCCCANCCCCCCCCAATCCTCTGTTATGAAATTATATCCAAGCTATGAAATTACGACCTCATCGACTAAATAAATAATTGTAATTTCGAAGAATGAATTCACTAAAAAATATGGAGGAACAGTGGGGAATTTCCAATATAAAAACCAGCAATCAGACGAAGGAATAAATTTTAAACTATTTACAAGACAACAAAAAAACTACAGACTCGTATATTAGTAGGGAGAAAGAAATTAGTGACAGTCAATTAACAGTGGCAGCTGACAACCCCCCTCTTTAAATTGCCAGCCAAACAAACAGAGAAGCAAATGATTCTGAACAAATTTATTTTTGTGTCTTCCACATTCGATTTTTAAAATAAGTCGTTAAGCACTTAGCTGCTAATTTGGAAACAAAAATTCATTTCGCCCGAAATCCTTCGAAAAAAAGATATTATTTTGGGACTTATTTTAAAAATAAGAAAAGTATTGGAAGTTCATCCGGTTTATATCGAGAACACACACACACACACACATACACAATCTTGTGGAAGATAAGTTTTTCAGTTTCCGAAAAATACACCCCAATAACATTACATTTCAGATATGAAGAATACCTAATTAAGCAGAAGTGACAACCCTTCTTAAAAAAGCTCCACTAAACAGTCTCTAAAGCGTTAGCTTATATCGATTTGTGGAACTGGTGCTGTAACTCTATAATGATAAATGGTGGCAGACTTACCAACGTTGATACATATAAACCAAGAAGATAATGTCATCTCTGAAGCAGGCCATCCTGTGTGCGGTGGGCATTTTTATTATGAAAGCGAAGAAATCGTCGATGAAGGTATTGAAAGCCTATAATCAGATTTAAATGGGTCAATGATAAGAGAGAGTCATAAACTGAAACAAAACGTTATGAAAGTGAAAGCGGCCTTAAATTTAAGCAAATCTAGATATACGTTGTCATCTGTTCAAAGAAAACAGAATTGGACCAATACAGAGAATTTAAGGAATTTGAGTCCCCATTCGAGAAAACTGGTTTTCAGTGTCATCTTGGCAACCAAGTTTCAATCAAAGTGCAGCAAGTGTAAATTAAATAAAAAAACTGAGAAACAAACCGAAATAAGTTAAGAAAATAAGGCTAACGCGCTGACTAAAAATAGGCATTTCAGAGAACACACTCCCTATAATTATATATACATATCCGAGAGCACATGACAGAGTACTTTATGGGTAGCAACGCAACCATTACAATATGTAATTACTTAAAAATTAAAAGCTAAATAATTCAACTCAGGTAAAGCATAATGATCTAGCAGGGTTAAAACCATTTAGCAAACTAGGTAAATGAATGCTGGAATAATTAAATTGTTATTGACTGTTCAGACTGGATCAAATCATGATTTTGGTTCGTGAATTTCATAAAACTTCAAGCAACCTAGAAGGCGCTATTTTCCGTATTTAAAAAGTTCCTGACTTGTCCAAAATATCTTAATGCAGTCATTAAAAATATACAGAAAGGCGACATTTAGCCATGTGCAAAATACAAAATTAGGCCAACCTTGTAAGTAAGCGCACGCCAAGGTAAATTCGCCACAGATTTAAGTTTGTAGTTTATGAATAATTGAGGAGTCATCAAAAGGAAACCAAACGCGTATACACCTGAAGAAAACAAATGGAAAATTGAAGTTAGAACGTAACGCCTACTCATAACATCTAAGTAGCGTTATTAATTTACCATTTACTGCAGTTTGTAAAATCCAGGACCGCCAACTATAAGACAAATAAGCATGTGATGCTCATCATGTTTCAGATATAATGGCAGCCTTAAAGCCTACCTTTTATGAGGCATATAGAGAAGCGAATATATAGCACCTCCAATACAGAGTGGCATCATTAGGAGCAACAAACATCGCATGAAGTTCGCATCTAGCTCATCAGTCTCCTTTTCCTCTTTGTTACGCTGTCCAATAGTGATACCGCTTCTGAACGTGAAAGTGACCTTAGCCATTCGACAGAGTTTCCAGTACTCAATCACCATGGAGATTCCTGCAGGTACAACGACGAGCATACTGCTTTTCTCCTCATAGAGGTAGAGGAAGATTATGCTTGTGCTGATACAGCGCCAAATAACTGTTCGGAAGAGGTTGAGTTATTAAAACTTTCGACTTGAAAATTAAGAGGATGAATTATACATACTTATAAATGCTTCCCTCACTTTGTCAGACATGAAATTCAAATGTAAGTTTGATTTAATTAAATTAGCAAGTGCTTTAACTCCAAACGAAAACTCCTAAATTCTAATAATCATTTTAGTTATCAAAAAATGCATAATACCACTACAATAAAAATCTGCTGTTTATAATTAATAAGCAAGCTTAATCACTTTCAAACGAATGAATGGAAAGTGCTAATTGAAAATACACAACTAGTAAAGAGTTCTATTTTATTTCAATAAAAATTTGGCGAAAAATGAAGAAGAATAGGAAGCAAATAAGAATGATATAAACTGTAAACATACCAGTACGAAAAGATATACCAGAGGTATTTTCTGCACGTCGCCAGAATTGAACATCATTTTTGAAGGCGAGAAAATCAAAGAAGAGCTAAAGTCATAAACAACCACACCTATTACAGGAAGAGCAACATATCATAACAGATCGATAATACTCACATGGAAAGCAGAAACAACAATGGTGGTAACTAGAAGGTAGAGATTCGTTTCAGTGAATAGGCCTTGAATATCCTCAATGTCCTTATCCTTAACACCTTTACAAAAATCGAGAATAAAGTGGCTCAAATTAACAAACCCATGGATTTTAACTGTTCCGCTGCCTGAGCCAGAATGCACCTTAGACGAAATTTGCCGATTGAAAGAGGAACTACTTCTAGGGTGAAATTGAGCTTTTCGGAAGGTTCTTCGGGTAATTCCTTCCAGTAAAACGTCGGTTGCAGTTGAGGATTTGCGTAGACAAGTGGGAAGTAGATTAGATCTGATTTCTCTTTAAATGCATGAAAAATAGGTAAAAGCTCTGGTGGAATCCCATTAACTGGAAAGGAAATCGCATCTTTGAGGACGAAGACTTGAAGATGAGATAACCAGTGAGTAGTTGGCTGAAGAGGATACCTAACTGTTTCATTATCCTAAAAGTAAGAAAATGAATAATTAGTTTTGTGCATTAGTGGCCGATCAGGGACAAGTATCTGGTCATTTCACTCACATTTGTAGCTATTAAGTTGAAAGCCTTAGGAACTGGTTGACGATGAGTGGCAATAGCAACTTTGTTTGAGTATATTTTAGACTTTTTATGAGATTTTATAACAAAATCAAGCGTTGCTGTCCCATTTCTGAACACAGATGGTGGGACTTTAAATTGGGTTTCGCTGAAAAATGGAATTGATATTAGGTAGCTTACAATTTCAAGCCAATGTCCATATTAAAAGATTCCGTGGTAAATTCAAAAGATTCTGTGTCACTGCGTTTTTCATAAACCAATCCTTCAATCTTAAGACTTAATAGAAAATTGCATGCATACTGTTAATTTTTCATCTACTGGGAATGCTGGAGAAATGCAGGATTTCGTATCTGTACAAGCAGATGGATAAAATACTTCATAAAATGTATATATGTTGAAGAATATGTAACCCAAAACGACGACTAGGACGATCTTATCTAAATACCGTCCAATCATCCTCAACACCAGGTGGCGCTACAACGAGCTTCTTGTAGAAAATCTGATAGGCTAGTGTACTTACAAGGTAATGCCATCAAATTTGCTAATAAAACTTATTTGATGAATATAACTACGATCACCTGAAAAAAATATTTTATTTTGTTGAAAAAAATTATATTAGCTTAAAATTGCTTTCAAATCTGATCATGATTATAAGTTGGCTGAATTTTTTTATTTTCCTAATTTAGACACTAATCAGAAGATAAAAAGACAAAATTATTTTACATATTCATCATACAAACAATAATATCATTTAAAGAGCTTTTAGCTTGTGTATTTTTGAAACTAGCATTTTATGTGATGGAAATTTGCAAAGTACAGTTTATACGTTTAACAAATAGACCCTTCATGAGAATGAATAGCTTTACTATGGAATGGATTCTTCCATGTTTAAGAGTGATTACTTTAGCTATGTTGCCTTCTGTAACCCAAAATGCTCCATGGAAATACTCATTGTAAAAACAAATTACTGCCTCTCGTCTCATGATCAAACTTATCGTTTTTAAAAAGTGACTCCTCATTCTTAAGCGAGGTAGAACTGAATTTTTCTTATAACGGATTACACTGATCCTGCAGGGAAGAGCATTAACAATTCAAGGGTATGAAAATATTTATTGCTTAATGGCCACTGATTGTAAATATCTCCTATTATTGTTACAAGGTCGTCTGCTTCCACTCTGAACTCGCGTTGCGACATGAGTCTATCTCCAAAATAAAAAGAATCATTTAATTTCCTTTGTGGAGATGAGTTGAGACTATCAAATGCTCATATTTGTAAGCTCATTAATAATACTCTACAATATTGAACTGGTAAGTTTGCAAATGTTTTCACAAAATAAAACCTTGGTCAATAACCAAGTAATGACCAATAACCAAGAATGAATTACCACCAGATGGGGTTAGCATGTTGCCATTAATCAACACCGGTCAAATAGGAGATAAGTAACCCAGTGAGGCTTTGTAAACTGACCTACTCTTAGCATTTACAAATTCTCTATTTAGTTATACGAAACTTAGGCCACACAATGGAGGTCCGTGAATGAATCCTTAGGAATCACCACAAAATCAAATCATTTTAGCCAAAGAACATAAACATATTTTAAGGTTTTAACATCGACTAGGAGGGGCAAAAAATAATTTAAAGCCTTTATAACAGAGCTACAAATAGATAAAAACAATATTCGAGTTTTAACTTTAGAGCACTTAGTAGGTATTAATCAATTTCACGACTTCGTGGGTAGAGAAAGGACCCTCTAGTTGGTAACGAGATTATAAAAAGAAAAGCACATTAGGCTGTACAAGAGGGAATAATAAAGGATCGAATATTAGTGATTACCGTGGCATGGAAGTGGAATTGTGCAATATAGCGATCGCTTCACGATGGTTTCCATTTGTCTGAATCAAGGCTCGACGGACTCGCTCCTCACTATAACCCATACGCACTAGGAGTCGTAACTGTAGAAATACATTTCCAAAATTGAACGCAATAGTTATTCCCTACTCTCTAAAATGTTCTAGCTTACACCCTCTATGCCCTTAAATAAGCACTGAGTGCTCTAAATCGACCACCCAGGCAAGTGCCTTTGGGTATGTTTTAATCAGGTCTTCAACCAATTACCAATTTCAAATGGATAGTGCTCACACACTGGGTCATTTCTTAACATTGCCAGACAACTCACTTTTATTACTCATTTGCACCCTCCCCCCCCCCCCCCCCCCCCGCATAAAAACTTATCTTTGCAAGCACCACATCCGCGTACTTAAAAGCCGTTCACTCATTATCAGGGAGGCAGTCGATTTTCTGGGCCCTCTACCTGCATCAGTAAAGCCTTGTGACCAGTTAGCTTCATCCTATTCCTGTAGTGCGAATAATTATTAGTAAGATTACAGATTAAGAAGCTAGTGAGTCAATCTCTTAGAGCACCAAAAGTGAATATTCATCATTCTAACTCACATGATGATGGAGTGTAACAGATTCGACTGAATTCCTTTCCTAAAAATGTCATTAAAAAGTACCTGGGGAGGGGGGTGTTCTGAATAACCAGGACAAAGTTCAATCTTAGCAAAATTTGTAAATCGAAAATTTATTTCTTTATAAAAATAGCATGGAATGCAAGGAGTTAATAAACTTAATGTTTCAACATATTAAAGAAGCACTACCGCATGGACTGACACAAAAATAAAAAACGTCCAAGACGAAGAATAAACGCTTACCAGCATCTTCTCATATCCGAAACAGATTATCAGCTATTTGACAAACTTCAACTTGCCCTTCAAACTAATAGAATCGTAAGAAGGACCGAGAATAAAGAGGTGGCTGATAAAAGCTTATCCCTAACTCCATAAGGAATGAACAGAGCAGAGCTTAAGCAACTAAAAATTTCACAACTTATTCAACTTAAAGATTTATTAATCTCTCGAAAGCAGGATTCACTACTTTGAGATAAAAAAACAAGAACATTTTATAGCTCTAATGCACTTCACGCGCAAAAGAATCCTTACTTTAAAATATGGGATATGCACTATCTACATATAATTATTATTATGAACATCAAATTCACCCTTATTCTGAAGTTTATTTATTTATTTCAAATGACAGGCGTTTTGATAGTTATCATTAGCCCTTTAGCTGACTTCGGGTTTCAAAGGGGGAAGGAACATCAAAGTAACAGAAAGTCGAGGGGTGGGGAACAGAAGAGTGATTTAGAGAAGTAAAGAGACAGACATGAAGGCAGAGAAAAGGTAGGATAAGTACTGCGCCAGAAGTCAATCGCCAGTTAATAGACTTTTTTGCCGTATGAGTATACGTTGCCCAGGGTGCACCACGTGGAGGTAAGTCTATCTGAAGTAATTTTGAAAAAAACTCCGTGCTTTCTAATTCTAAATAAAGTTCATTGCAAATTAAAAGTAGATGTGGACTCAGAAAAAAAACCATTAGATAATAGAGACGTAAATTTAAATATGGCGCTGGTTAAGCCAGACTAATAAAGAAAGTTGATACTATTACTCCGTTCATGATGAAAATCGGAAAATTCTTGAGCCGTTATTAATAATACTAAAAAAAGATAAATTCATGAGTTATGAAAAATGCTAACAAACCGATTTAATGTATCAAAGGGAACCAAATCAAGAAAGTAATAAACCCTTTGGTGGGAACAAAGGAACAAATAAAAAGAGCTTAAGCAAGGTAAATAAACTGTAAAAGAAATTGAATTAAAGGATGTATTTACGATGGTGCACATTTGAAAAACAGACATACATATCCGAATATTTCATATCTAATCGATACCTTCAGTAAATCGCAAAGAAATTTGGTCATGAAGTCGGCATCAAAGAAAATTTCATAAATATCGAATAATGTTGGCAATTATTCCTACCACAAGAACTGAATTGGTGAATTGAAAATGAAAGCGATCTGGGAAAACAAGCACCAAATCAGACGCACAGTATTTCCAAGCACTCATCATCGGTAGAAGAATGTGAAACAAAAGCAGCCACAAATGCCTAAATAGTGTAATAGACATGGACGCATTCGTTTTAACCATAAGCTCGTATGCATATACAATAAAGCCAATCTGATGAAGCAAAAATGAATATAGACACAACTACTCTATTTGGAAGCAAATTAGAATGTATTCTGATTGAGTGAGTTGCCTACTGTTAATAATTCTTCAATCCGAAGTTTTTGATCAAGAGCTTGCTGTCTCTGAATCTCCAAAGTAGCACCGATTGGAGTTTGGTTATCTTTAGGTTCACTGGAGGCGAATATTGGACTAAGTATCCGACTTAACACTCTCGAGACTGATAATGGAATCAGGTTGATCCTTTGAATGAAAGTGTACCGGTAGAGTAATCCAGCCAGCTATAAAAGAAAAACAGCCAAATAGTTGGTCATGTTAACAGTATAATCGTAAGAAAATGAACAAAAACTTTACCAGTCCACATCCAGCCACAACCAAAGAACCGATGGATGACGTCGCCAACTATAGAAGATTGACAATGATTTACAAAAAACGGAACATACCCTTAGACCAAGAAAATACGTAAAAAGCTTTCGAGATACTGTGAACGAATTCGTTGTAGACACATTTGGAATATCAAAAAAGTAATCGACAAAGAAGGGATAAATCAGAAAGAATCTAAAAATCGAATAAACAAGAACAAATTCGGCATACGGGCCAGAAGGCAGTGTAGATAAAGTGATCCCGTATTTTGATAATGCAATTGTTGAAAGCAGCTCAAGAGAAGTAGACAAAGTGAATAGCCATATAATTGATGACTAAGATTGTTAATTAAAGAAAAATATAAATATTACCAGGTATTTTCGTGAGCCCAACCTTCGCTCAAATTGACGATATCGGTAAATGAGTATACAGCCAAATAAAAATTCAGATGGGTCCAAGAAGGCCATTTTTGAAAGAAACAAATATGAAAGCTAAAAATGTATTAAAATACAGATACATACCACATGTTTATCTAAAATATTGGATAGATCATACTTGAAAAAACTTTGTGTGGCGCTGTTAGAAAATTGAGCGAACGTGGAAAGTGTAGCAACTGAGGCCAGAGAACATTTTGTTATTGTACTCTTGTCTAAATTGAAATAAAATTTACCATTAAGTTCTCACAATAAATTAACATCAAATAATGAAAGTTAAAGATATTTAATACCTCTTTACGTGATTAACTAACACTATGGCCACGGAAAAGCAACAATATTTTAACATATAAAAAACACTTATGGAATAATAGCTTACAGAATCCAGACATGACGCAGAACCGAAACACCTCAAACTACGAACCGGCGACTTTCCTTATATTCAATGCATGCGCTGTTAATATTAATTAATTGCAAGTATTATATGAAAAAATCTTTTTGATATTTTTAAATATTCAACATTTTATCTGAAGATTTTATCTTAGTTTACATAAATTTAGTAATATTTGTGTTAATTTCATTATTTTCAGGCGTCTTCAAAGATCTTGTTTGTGTTTGAACTTCGATATATTTACCTGACTTCAAATAAGACAAGTTCTTTTTTCTGATGCAAAATACAATTCATTATTTTCATTTATTCTAATACAAATTGGCATAAACTACCTTACTTCCTAAATGGAGTATTGCCTTGACGACCTCGAATGAAAATTCCACGTGCCCTCATTTCAGAACGATATTATATAAATACTTACAAGAACCTGAATGCAAGCACAACTTGATAAGACCATTGATTTGGACCTATTCTTAACAAGTAATATTTTAACTCTATTCTATCTCAAGTGTTTAATCGGACGTCAAAATCTATTTAGATTTTCCAATATAAATGTTATTATAAAAGTCGTCTGACCTTTCTAGTGTCTTCTCTAAATAGCAATATTGAATGGCAACTAAATTGGGCGGTTAAAGTGAAATTTTATTCACTAGCACTAACTAGAGTAAAGCGTATGAACTCCCAAGTTAAGTCCTATCAACTGATTGGTCAGTAATTTATGATTTCATTCCTATTGAAATGTCATTCTCCGAGTTCAGCTCTAAGTACCACCCTTGTCTCCGTCTGGGCAATTTGAGGTAATCAACCGAAATATTCCTCACACTCGTTACCCATTCCAAAGATGGAAGAAATGATTTTGCCTGCTTGTTTGTGTTCATATAAACTACTGCTCCATTAAATTCTGATTATATGAGGATTTTAACAATTGAAAATGGATTGAGATGAAATTTGTTATACAAAACCATCGCAATATGCGGGTTATACTTTGATTGATTTTGGTTTGTCTAAGAACAAAATAACTAGATGTATGATTTTTGAGCATAGATGAAGCCAAATCACAATTAATTAAATTATAAATATTTTCGTCGAAATTCGATGCACTTTTGCGTTGCGTCTTTTGGCTAGGTTTTTAGAACACTTAATTTGCGACTGTTAGATTTTGTTCTTATGAAAAGTGTCCTCATAAACGCCTTGCTTAACAATAATTTTCTACGTAATCACTTTGTTTCTACGCAAAAAGGCTTTACTTCCAATAATGTAAATTAATATTTGACGATCATCTAAAAATCTCAACAAAATTTTAAGTACAATGTTACATGTTATTTCTCCAAGGAGATGCCTAAAATTCTTGCACTTATAGAGAAATGTGCTATAAAATGTGACGAGATTATTAAAGGATAAACTTAACTTATATTTTTTAAATGGCGTTCCCTTGATTTTTTTATTTAGTCATCTTTTAAAAGAAACTCGGGTGTTGAATATGCAACTACGCGGTTGTTCTTTTATTTCCTTTCTCACTGACACTAATGAAAGAACGATTGATGAACATAGACAATCCTCAGTGTTAAAGTGCAAATATTGCCCAGTTAATTAATTTATATACTTCCGACCCTTCCCAAGCCATCATTTCCACTTCAACTACCCTAGGGAACTTATCACAAACTACTATGCTACTTTAAGATTGCGCTTTGTATCATTTGTGTCCATTCTCTTCATTTAACCATTGTAAGAATCAATGAGTTGAAGTGCCAATACCATCCATCATTAACAAATAATTGGTCAGTCGACAGAGAATAGAATTCGCAATATTTTTTTAGTAAGTAGGATGATGAATTATGACATGAATTTTCTGATAAATACCGTAAATATTTTTGGACGCAATCTAAGTCAGTGATGCCCTGACTTTATTCTCCAAAATCTTTTCAACTCACTTCTAGCTTATCGTATTGAATGAGTTTTTATTTTTCATATGCTTTTGGGTGTAGCATAAAATAATAACATCATTTGAAATAGACCAAGGCAACCGTACATCTAACTTAAAGTCTTGAATAAATGAATCGAAACACCAGCTTGTGACCATGACCGATGAAAATTCCATTCAAGTTCCTTTGAGAAGGCATATATGACTATCAATCTACTTTCTTACAAAATGAAACAATATAATTCAATTAATCCCAATTAAATTGCGGATATTAATTCGATTCTCCCATTTTGAAAACTTTCAAGTTTAAGATATTTGGTGAATGACCAATGATATATATTCAGCGGAAAGTCATCCAGCTAAAAACAGTCCGAAATTATTGCTTAAGGACTTATTGATAGCATATTAAGGTAAGCAAACAGAAAACGTGAACATCTAAATAAAGTATTATTTCAGTAAAATCAAGCAATAAGACATCAACATTGCCTGATGTAAGAAAATGCTTTGAAAAAAAGTTTCAATAATCTGAGTGAATTCAACTCGGTTTATCAATAGGAATAACTTGATCACTTTCTTCCGTTATGAATTTACTGCTATTCTGAAATGGATCAAGTACGCCTTTATGGATGAACGCTTTCTTTCGTTAAGGCGACACCTGTGCATCATGTGGACTTAAGTGATACATTGTATTAATGTGACTTTGCATGAGTCACCATAGGTCTATAGTGGCTTTTATGATCTTCAAACTAATCATAGCTTTCGCCGAATGGCATTTATCCTCTGTACTCAAGTCCATAACTTTAAATATGCTTTACCAAAGTGCATTGGAAAGCATCAGTGTTCAAATCGTAAAACGACAAATCTCAGACCCACTATCCAAGGTGCATCAGTTCCGTTGTCAAGGGTCTTCCCGTGCCCCCTAGCATTATATTACATATGGGCATTCGAAAAGGATTTATTGATGACACCTTCAATAGACCATAATTGCTTGTGAATTCCATATACAAATGTTGTCAGTGCTTCCTTTTGGACTTCATTTTAACAACTTTCGAGTTAACTTGTATATTTGATAAGGCTTGCTCTTCTTACAGTAAATAAGGCCCTTTTGAAGAATACAATCAATCTTGTTCATGACCTCATATACCACCTTCAGTTGTTTACGAGTGTTCCGTTTGGAAAGTACACACAAACAGTGCTTTAAAACTTCTCAGTTGCCCTTTAATGTAGCCGCGGCTATTTGGACTTAAAGAAGGGGAAATGAGAAGTTTCATGGCTCAAACGACGCTTATATATATCGCACAGATAGTCTCACATATTCCGATGCGAGCGTGAGAATCCAATAATTGGTAATCCTTTGCAAGAGATATAAAAGTGCGAGTTTCTCTTGAGTATAAAAAATAGCCGATTGAGCCACCAACATTTCCCTCCTTTAATAATGCCTAGCTTTAGGCCGAGGCTGCGCTAAATAGGCATGATTTATTCGTCAAGAGCTGCTGATGTAAGAATGTAAATAAAAGGTTCTTATTCTGTGATTGATCGATATCAATCATAAATAGCTATGAATACAATCGTTTGAAGATTAGTGAGTGAATCTCAAGGTATGTGTATCATCAAATATCCTTTCTCATTTTTATTACAAAGGTATTAACAAATTGATGATAAATATGGATGGAATTCTCATTAGAGGGTGCTTATAATGCCTATTTATCTATGGAAAGAGTCAAAAATCTGAAATTTTGGTAATTTAAATAGGAAGGGAGGACTTCCTAATTGGGACAAAATGATGAAATAGTTTAAAAAATGGTCGAAAACTGAAACTGTCATGGACGCCCTTCCACAACTAAGTCAATATTATCAAAAATCAATATAACCTTGCCGTTTTTCAAAAAGCAGATCTTTTTATTGTTATTATTTACCAAATGGAAGGAAGTGATGAGCACCACTTCACCCATATAATATTAAGCTGTAAGTTGTCTTACTATTAACTTAAATCTCAATTCAACATGCGATTTGATGCCCCAAGTCCCGAAAAATATCATGTGAATGTTATTATTATATCAAATGGCAGGCGTTTTGATGGTTATCA